ACAATTAAACAGTTTCACTTCATGTAGGCTAGGAACATTTCACCTGCCGTGGCCCGACCGCTTCTGCTCCACATAAACTTTGTGCGTGATCAAATGTCTCTAGAGGTGCTTTCTGAGCTGAAGAGGCTATTCTGCCTCAGACTGGATGCGTCATGCGTCTCCATATTATGGGCCATTCCCATCTGTACCGGGTCGGCCCGGGCCGGGTAGCGTAGGTTGTTTACATATCTGGGTGGCCTGGTATTTTTCCGGGCCAACCAAGGCTCATTCTCAGCCCTCTTCTCGAGGGGGTCTGCTTCAGGCCGACCAGGGCCAACACACCCACTGCTGACAGCAAATTCACACCTTCCATTAGAGCAAGCCTCTGATTGGTGGGTAGAATCAGCCCACATGGACTTAAGACAAGGATGTGTGGAATCAACCGGGTCAGGCTGGGGCCGACCCGGTACAGATGGGAATGGCCCATTAGAGACGGGAACAAGCGCAATTCAGCCAAAGTTTCATAATCAGCGAACATTTTTCCAAGTGACACATCCCTCAGAGAGACCGGGTTTCCAGACCGTTTCAGTGGGAGGAAATCTTAATGCATGCGCCGTGGTTCTGCGCTGCGCTCCCCTCTAGATCTTCAGCTCACTGTCCACCGTGTTCGCTCTGAGCCGTGCTGAGCACAGTGTCCAGTATAAAGCTCTGACGTTCTGATGGGAATCATTTCTTGATTGATTTAGTTACCTCCGCGATGTGCATAATGATTAAAATGTCAGCTCATCTGTGTGTGCATCAGTGTGTGTCGGGGTAATTCTTTTAAAACAACCAACATCCTTGAGTTTATCTGTCAAAATAAACAGTCAAATGGAAATATCTGTAACCTGCCATTTAACTGTTTTGCCTTCTTGTGAAGATTGTTGCAAAGAGAAACAATTAAACTTGATTAACCCCAGAGCCACGCGCACTGCGCTGTACTTCGTGACTGTAAATGAGGGGGAAACGATTTAATCGGATCCGTTTCTTTTCAACATGGTTTAATGTAAAGTTTCATTCAGTACAAACTTTAGTTACACCAATCTAACGAGACAAAGCCTGGATTTGTATTCTGATCAGCTTAAACATGTTTAAAACGGAGACATGTGTGACGCGTCTAAAATTCGCACCTGCTCCGCTATTATGGAAATTAAACTAACAAGATGAATAACAACAAATTATTTTAGGCACAGACAACATCCCCCACACTCTTGCAATGTGCCTGGTGCTAATATAATAATATAATATTGCTAAAATGCTCAGATGGGAATCATTTCTTCATTTATTTTGTTACATCCACAATGTTCTGTGTGTGAGGTTTACAATGTCAGAACACCTGCATGAGACAGGGTGTTAATTACAATCTGCCAGAATGACTCACCACCTTCAGATTTCTCCAACACCGTTAAAAATGATCAAATACGGAACATATCGGCGTGCGCAGGCCAGAGTGCTGAAGCTCGGCGCATTGTTATTATGAAGCTAGGGCACATGTGGAGGACACACGCGCGCGCAAAATATACTTGTTTTCAATTACATTTATTGGGCCCACTTACTTTTTCTTAGGCCCACCCACAAATGAGTTTCTGGCTACGCTAATGGTGACATATGACAGACTTCTCTGAGCTCCGCAGCCATTACACTTTTCACCTCACGCACCCCCTAGCGCAGACCTGGGCATTTTACGGCCCGCGAGCCACATACGGCCCTTTGGTTGACTTTGACCGGCCCGCGTAAGGTTAATTGGAAATTACAAAATAAATGTATTTTCTCATTTTACCTCATGCATGGGCTAAGGCTGCATTGCTTTTATTTTGAAGTTGTTTTTTACGTGCACAATGACGCAATACATATAGCAACAAGTGCCCGCGGTTGACATGGTGATTGTAGCCTCAGAAATGTCCGCTCATGCAAAAAAAAAAAAAAAAAAAAAAAAAAAAGAAAGATGCCAAATACAGGATTTTCAACAAAAATTGGACTGCTAAGTTTTTTTTTTTACTGAAGTCGGAGGCAAAGCCGTGTGTTTGGTTTGCGGGGAGGAGATTGCAGTGTTTAAGGACTACAATTTGAGTCGGCATTACGACAAGAAACACTCGGAAAAATACAAGAACTCATCTGATGCTGAGAGGGCACGGACATCCGAAGCTTTGCTAGCAAAGTTGCAAAAGCAGCAAGGCTGTTTTACTAAGCTTCACACATCCAGGGATGCAGCAACCAGGACCAGCTTTGTGATATCCCACAAAATAGCTAAAAACAGCAAGCCGTTTTCGGAGGGAGAGTTTGTCAAAGAGTGCATGGTGGAGTGGACTCCGCAGCACTAATATGCCCTGAAAAAAAAGGTGCATTTGAGCAAATCCCGCTGTCCAGGTGAACCGTGGGGAACCTGGAGCTTCAGCTGCAACGTGAAGTGGCAAGCTTTGACTTTTTCTCATTGGCCTTAGACGAGAGCTGTGATGTCCGCGACACAGCCCAGCTGTTCGTATTTGTCCGGGGATAACGGAGCTCACAGAGGAGCTGGCAGCAATGCGGTCAATGAAAGGGACAACGACAGGGAGTGATGTTTTTACAGAGGTAAATGCGTGCATGGACACTCTGGGATTGAAATGGGAGAGACTGTCAGGTGTCACAACAGACGGTTGTCCAAATCTTACAGGGAAAAATGTCTGACTTTTGAAACGCATGCAAGATAAAGTGACAGAAATCGATGCAGATCAAAAATAGGTGTTTTTGCATTGAATTATACACCAACATGTGTTGTGCAAGTCAGTGCTAAAAATCAACCATGTTACTGATGTTGTTACTAAAATAATAAACTTCATCAGGGCACGGGCAATGAATCACAGACAGTTTGTCGCTCTTTTGGAGGACTCCACACAGCTGTCAGATGGCTCAGCCTGGGGAAGGTGCTGAAGAGGGTTTGGGACTTGAAAGCAGAGATTCAGGACCTCTGCTGGATTTCTACTCTTCTCTTAAGGAGGAGAACTTTCCAAACCTGAGGAGACATGCTCAGAAGATGTTGGTTTTCTTCGGCTCTACCTACATTTGTGAACAAACATTTTCAATGATGAAGTTTACAAAATCCAGGTAAAGATCCTCTCTCACTGATGATCATTTGTCAGCTGTGCTTCGCATCTCCACCTCAGACATTCAACCTGACTCTGATGCACTCGTTAAAGCCCAGCAGAGACTAGATTTCTCTCATTGAATAAGAAAAAAAATCGCTTAAAAACACAAAATAAGGTGTTTGGACCACAAATGTAGGCAACTAGCAGTGAACTGGGACACTTTTTTTTTTAAACCTCTTTCTCAAGATCACAGTTCAGTGATTTTATTTTACAGATAATACTGTGTGTCTGTAGAATGCTAAGAACCTCTTTCCAACAATATTTGAAACTCAAAATGTGTTTTGGAGTGAATGTGACTGAAACTGTTAACTAATATAAGTCACAAATGTTTAACAAAAACCAAATGCGCACTTTGTTTACCATTGCCTTGGGAAATTTGAATAAATCACATTTTTGTAAGCCAACCTCACTTTTTCCTTTTTGCTCATTTATAACATATAGTCTACTCTTACCAGCTTGAAAAAACAATGGTATTTACTGCTTTTTATAAAGAAATACCATTAATATTATGCATAATTGACTTCAGCCTTTTGGCCTGGCCCTCCACAATATTTTCTATTTCTCATGTGGCCCCATGGAAAAAATAATTGCCCACCCCTGCGGCAGCTCGCGCACCCCTCACCACACTTTGGGAATCCCTGTTCTAGATGAATATGCACTAGATGGAAACGTTCTAGTGGGAGATGTCCTAGACAGATATGTGCAAGACGAATAAGTTCTAGACAAATATGTTCAAAAGAAATATGTCCTAGACAGACATGTTCTAGACTAGGAATGTGTATTGGTGAAAGTCTGATATGATACTTATCACAATACAGGGAAGACGATTTGATATATCACGATATATTGCGATATAATGCCTTTTGAGTACAGACAAATCACAGGAAAAAATATTGCGATGTATTGCCATATCAATATTTTCTTACATCCCTATTCTAGACGAATATGTCCTAGATGAATATGTTCTATTCAAATGCGTTTGAGGCAAATACGTCGTAGATAATATGTTCTAGACGGACATGCCCCCCCCCCCACCACTCTCACCCCTGTAATAAAGATCCCTCTCCCGTGGTGCCTGCTAGAACAAACAGACATCACTGCAACAGGAAGCTGGCCAGAGGATTATGGCACAAACCTTTATGTTCACCAAAGAAAGTAAAGGCAACAAAAGCAACACTTTAAGCTTATTTTGTATTTTTACGAGGGGAAAGAGAAAAACTGTTTGGGTTATTTTTATCTATATGGTTAGTTATTCTAATGAAAATGCAAACAGGATTTATGGTAATGGGAGCTTTAGCCAACTGGTAGAATTTATTGTCTTTTCAAAGTTAAGACATGTTAAGGTTGAAAAATGGCTTCAAACTTTAAATGATAAAATGTGTGATGCTTTGATCTACAGACAGCTCCCATGATGAGTTTTAATAACATTTACCAGTAAACTGGCACAGTCCCTGCTCTAAAGGAGAAAAAAGCTCATAAAAAGAAAATTATTTTTTCTTTAAAACCGCCTCAAGCATGCAAGTCAAGTGTCCAAAATCACTTAGCTTGCTGGGAGCCTCGTGCTCTGTGAAGGGGAATGTATGCAGGCTATTGAAAACCAAAATAGGGTTCTCTCCTTTTTTTATGTTGCTGGTAAAATCCCAGATGCAGAACCTTCTGTCAGCAGCAAACGTTCATCTTCTTACATAAGAGAGTCCCTGAGAGCATCCATAAATCTGGTAGAGTGTGTGTCCCACAAACAACCACACTCAGCAGTGATAAAGACACTCCACCAGTCCCAGGCGCACTCATTTACAGAATGTGTGTAAAACAAACAACTGAGACGTGAGTTAAATAGGAAGAATCTGGGATGCTTACCAAAACATGTGTGAGGACGATTCTGATGAGCGGCGCTCCAGAGAGGTTCACTGACAAAGCTGGTAAAGGCTCCACTTTCAGAGAGATCAGACAGCTAGCTACCTGTATGCTGTGATCCTTGTAATCAGCTGATCCCTTAATCCTGTGAGACAAAAAAAGAAAGAAGGTGAAATGAAACATAAAGTCAGCAGAACAGAGGATGCATATCAACCCTCACCCTTCATGCCAGGGTGAGATGAGTTAGGAAGTACTTTGGTCACAACTTGAAAATAACAAATTGCTTGATCTCATACAATGTTGAATGACTCCACTGTTTTATCTCCAAGTCTTAGCTAGAATTATCGCTGTTTACTTTGAACCATTTTTGTGTTTGCTAATGTTGACTCACTGTGGCAGCCATCTTGAATTGGGGTGACTTCTCGTGTTGACCAGTTGTAGATGCTCATCCAATAATAGTTTCAATAAAATCAACCCAGTGGCTCATTTTGACATAGTTATCTAATGCAGTGATTCCCATCCTGGGGTTCATGACCTCCTCAAATGAGTCACCTCAAGATTGCAAGGCATCCCCACAGGGGCACCTCTAGAAAATTTTGATAGGGGTGGCCAGATGGGGCCAAAGAAATTTTTGGGGTGGCACACCAAATTGGTCCTTGTGGTAACTCTGGTTGAATTTAGTCTGTGGCGATGTATTGCACTGTGCCTTTATTCATTTTTTACTAAAATAACAGTACGTATCCAAAACATTAACTTAAATTTTACAAACACAAACATTTTAGAAAAATACATTTCAGTTATTTAAAATGTTATCCCAAATTTAAGTTAAAAATGTATATTTTTTAGTTTAATTCACCTGTTGCTATGTTCACACAGAAAAACGTTGGAGATAAAAACTTTTTTTAAATGGTGAGCAGCAGAAACATATGTTTTTTTTATTCTGATTATTTATTTACTCATTAATTGTAATATTTTTTATTTTGTTTGACAATTATGTCTTGAATAAACAAGATCAATATATGGTTTGAATGAACATTAATATAATTTGTTAACACTGGCTTTTTCTGCCAGTGGTGGTGGTGGGTGGGGGGGGGGATTTTCTAGGGGTGACCATACCACCCCTTGGGGGCGCCCTTGGTCCCCACTATTTTGTCGGTGCTTAGGTTATGAGATTACCAACATTTTATTTGTAAAAGTTAAAATTATAAAATCCCAATAACACACCCAATAATATACTCAAATGTCTGTGGAATTATAAATCTGTATGAATTTGTAATTAAAAGCACACTTGGCAGTTTTTCTTTCTTTCTTCTTTTAGCACGCCCTGGTGTCTGTTATTAATTATCTGTGGTCTGTGCCACCTGAGGTAAATGACCTCTTGCTGCAGAGCACCAGTGCTGCCAACAACGTCATCATGCATAATAATGACCATCCTATCACTGAACAAGTTTTTCTATTATATACAAGAGATGAATTATAACATGATTTTAGGCTGAACTGCACTGTGGTAAAGTTGGTACAGATCTGCCTGGCAATGAGAAGTTTGCAGGTTCAAATCCCCATTGAGCCTTTCTACACAAGCCTCTATGTTTTAAGGTCTCCCCGCATGCAGGCATTCTTTCTGGGTGCTGCGATGTCCTCCCACAGACACAAACATGCATCATAACTGCAACTGAGTGGTGCTCTGTCTATGCGTTCCTTTGATGGACTGAAGACCAGTCCAGGGCGCCCCATCCAGCTCCCTGTGACCCTACTAAGGAAGCACGTTGGAAATGTAGTGAGAGTGAGTAGTTTTCGCCTTTGTAACTCATAAAAAGTATTGATTGATCCTTATGTGGCCCACACACTAACACACAAGTGTCACACACAAGACCGGAGCGGTTACATTAAGATGGGACTCGCTGGATCTCCGTCTCTTTAGTGGATAACATTGACAACCAGCAACCTAATACCAGTAGTTTTTCATATTTGATCACAGAAACATCAACACCAACACGTGTGTCCTTTTTGTTCTAGGGATTATAAATATGGAAAAACAGATTCCTGAACTGCTGCTTCACCCTGTTTGAGCAACCCACACAGCAGCTGGAAGAAGCCAATCCAGTGATGTGACAATAATTGAGTGGGCGTATAGCGAGGGGGACAGATATGTCGAGCTAATAGCAGGGTGTATCAGTCAGTGGATGTTGAGTGGTGAGATGGAAGATAGGCAGAGAGGACAGATAAGCTCCTGGCTCCAGGCTTCAGTTGTTCTGAGGTTCAGGAAGCACGGGGCGCCAGGACTTCTGATTCCCAAACAGTCAGCACAAAGGGAAGTGGCTAAAACAATGTCTGTGTGGGGGTGGTTCTTACCTGGTCTTCACGGGACTGATCTCTTTGTAGTACTTGTGCATGTTGTGGTAGTAGAGACCCACAATAGTGGTCTGAGCTGAAGGAGAGATGAAATCACACAGGGGCCGAGGGTGAGAGGAATGTACGGCTGAGCTGCAAAAATACTCACAAAGAAGGGAAGTTAATTAACTCCAACATGCTAGCACACACCGGGACGCTAATAGAACCACTAAATACTCTCACGAGGGTGGAAGGGAGAGTGGGGGAGAGAGCCATCAACCACATGGACGCAGGATAAGTTTATCAAACAGCTTCATGACTTCACCAAGAGTCCAGGAGTTCCAGCGCCCTCCTCCCCAGGTCTGACCTATCGTTCAGCTCGGTCCCAACAATGCTGCCAGATAAAAGTGAAATAGGAGGAAACCCTTAATGGTCATGTTCCTCCACTCAAAGGCTTTCCAGCCGAGACTCGCTGACGAGGCCCACAGAGGCTGCTGATGTCAAACACAAGTGCAGCAGGGCTGATGGGAACATTTCAGTAGGTTCCTCCCAGCAAGTCGTAGACCGGGGCGGTCATTTCTGTTTGTTCAGCTCTCCCAAGAAGTTAGAAAAATAACAAAATACAGGACACACACATTCACACACACATGCACACACACACACACACACACACACGCACACACACACACACACACACACACACACACACACACACACACACACACACACACACACACACACACACACACACACACACACACACACGCACACACACACACACATGCACACACACTCACACACACAAGCACGCACGTGTGCGCGCATGCACGCACGCACGCACACACACACACACGCGCACACACACACACACACACACATTACCTTCTCTGTGCCTCATAAAACTGACCCGTAGAGGGTTTACATCAGCAGCTTTTCAGGTTTCTGACCTAATTTGGCTCTAACGTATCAAGCAGCAGCATCTAATCCACGTCTGATAGCCGTTTGTAACAGAATTATTGAAGTAGTTTATTTAGTGTTTGCGTCTCAGCCAGGTGGAGCCAGGAGAATCTGACCTAAACACAAAGTTTCACAACAGACTAATGAGTGGGTTTAATGTAGGGAAGTGGAAAACCTGGAACCTCTTCTTCCTCCAGCTTCATTGACTGCCAGTCAACTTCAGGGTTCATTTCAAGATCCTGGTTCTGGTCTATAGGGCCTTACATGGACAAGCACCATCTTACATTGGTGATCTTCTTAGTCCCTACACCCCCAGCAGGTCCCTGAGGTCCAGTGATCAAAGCCTACTGGTTGTGCAGCACACCAGGCTAAAGACCAAAGGTGACAGATCATTTGCTGCTGTGGCCCCCAGACTCTGGAACTCTCTCCCCCCCTGAGCCTGAGATCAGTGGACTCAGTGGTCTCCTTTAAAAAACAGCTGAAGACTCACTTGTTCAAGCTGGCTTTTGTATGACCTTCTTCACCACTCTCTCTTTATTCTGCTCTCCCCACCTATTCCACCTTCCTCAGGATCCACTGATTTCCCTCTTTCCTGTTCACTCTCTCTCTTTCTTAACATTTTTTTAATCACAATTTTCTATATTTGCTCATTTTAAATATATTTTTAAACATTGTCTAAATGCTTTTTTATATTTTTACATGTTTTGTTTTTGTGAAGCGCCTCGTGATTTTTATCTTGAGAGGCGCTATAGAAATGATATTTTCTTCTTCTTCTCCTTCTTATCTTTCTGTTTGGAGTGAAAACTCAAGTGTCAACATAAAGTCAGAGATTGGTTTCTTCAAAGCTCCATAAAGTTCCACTCCTGTCACACAGGGAGGCTTTAAGCACGGCTACAGTCTGAACAATAATACAAAAGCAAAAGTGTTCCAAGATGAAAAGTGTTCTGTTAGAATAATAGAAAAAGTGTCCACACTCAACCCTGCTACTGTTTCCATAAACATCACACAGGCTGTACTTTACACACTCACCCTGCATGGTGAAGGCCTCCCCAGGCACAGAGATGTAGCTCTTCCCCAGCGAGGGGAAGCGGTAATTCAGCAGGTTGAAGTTCTGTGGGATTTTTGTCAGAGAATAATCTGTTGGAAGACAAAAACAGAGCTGCTGAGAAGAACAAACACAAAACTTGTGAGCTCTCTAAGCAATTTCAAACTGACCTGCAACTAAAGACGTTCCACCCAGAGAAAAGGGGGAGAGGGGGGTGGGCTCCAGCTTGGTCACCATTTGCTCCATCACTCTGTCCACTGTCTGGATCAGGCTGCTGACCACCGGGGTGGACTGCTGCTGCAGCAACACATGCTCTGGCTCTTAATAATCAGGATTATTTCATTTGGAAAATCTCCTCAAAACATGAGCTGATTTAGTTTAAAGGATCAAACAAATGAATAATGAATAATTTACGTGAAGTAAAGTAATAAACGTTTATGTGTGTAAACCTGACCTTGTGTCGTTATTTTGTGTTTTTAAGAATAAACACCTGTAACTGCTGTTTTACTTTTTTTTAGAGGTGCTCCTTTTGGATAAAAACAAGTTGCATCCCTTGGAATGGCTGATCTCAGCACAACTTAGACTGGAACGTTGCTCCAATTTCCAAAATGTCACAGCTGTTGTTATGACGTGATTTTTAGGCATAGTTGTTTTTTTACATTGGGCTGTGGTTGTTTGCAAATGTTGCACCCATAAACAAATCTAATCGGGCAGGAAGGTATTAAAATCTCCGCCAAAGTCTCAAAGTAGAGTCAATGATATGTGCATGAGCTGAAGCAGAGTTTGGTCCATCAGATCATATCACGCCTTCTGAATCAGCCCAACTCAAAACCGTTTTCACTGCGGTTGTTTCTGCAGAAATGTAAAACTCAGCTATGTTTACCCCAGCACTTGAAAAGGGTTAAAACTTTATTAAATAAAAAAGTGTTTGGAGGTATATCTTCAGATATTTTGTTTACAGCAGCACACTTTGGCCTCAGCGCACATGGCACAAGCCCTGGTTTGTTTTTTCACCTGGAATAAAACTGTTTCTCCAAACTGAGGTTGTTCAGAAACCATCTACAGGCACAGGTACATTCAGCTAAGATCTGCTTTTAAGCACTTTCATTTTCCAAACAACATTTGAATCGGTCACACACTGGCAGTTCTATCCAAACACACTTTTACCTCACGGGTAAAAAATGTCCATCTCACAGCTTGACTGACTTCAAAACAACCAACATGATAAAAGGGTTCGTGTTTGACAGAAACACATGTTTCAGTTTGACCTTGTAATAACGCAAGCATGCTTCAGAGCTCTGAAACCACAGACTGGTGGTTGAACATCAGTGTGTGGAGACCAGAGCAGCACAGGAAGCTGGCCATTTACTCTGAAGGCATTGTGCTGTAAACTCTTTTAAAGTCACCGGTCCTGGAAAAGACGCTCTGCAACACTCTGCTTGATTATTAACAGCAATAATGTGTGGGCATTCTGCCATCTACTTTTACAGCTTCAGGCACCGTTTGTTCCAAAAATGCAGTGGTTTAAAAAAGAAAAGTCACACCGTTTCATCGCTTTGGCTCTCAGGAGCCTATGTTTAGTCATGTTTGGACATCACACAGCAACAGCGTGAACTCATTTACCTCTGGCAATCCTGAAGAGGACAGGACTTCTTCCACACTTCGGAGAAAAGCCTAGATGGAATAAAATGGACATCATGGAACTGTTGCATCACGTGCACATGGGTGGGCATTGTGTCTGCATGTGAAACGGTAACATGCTTGTTGCACTGGGCTCCAGGACCTGTGTGAGGTTGTTGGCAGTGTTATGAGGAATTGTCCCGTTGGACAGGGTGGTGAGGAAGTCCAACACTGGCAATGAGCTGGACCCCTTTGAGCTTTGGGCCCCATCTTGTTGTCCGTTGATGATGGGAGGACTCGCCCTGGTGCCTCTCTGAGGAGAGAGAACATCACGCATGGAGTGACGTTTACTGTTTGCACAGATTCGGTGATTAGTGACTCATCCTCTGATTTTAGGAAATGCTCTTTGAACAAGTGATGCAGCATCGTTATCCACACGTTTGTTAGAATCAGACTCAAAATCAGGCATTAGAGGACAATAAATGCTCCGTGGGCAGCCTAAGCAAACAAACTAACAAATGACTAAATAAACATCTGCATCCATTCATTTTCAGCCGCTTGTCTGAAGTTGGGTCACAGGGGCAACAGCCTAAGCAGGGAGGCTCAGACTACCTTCTCCTCAGCCACTTGGGCCAGCTCCTCTGGGGGAATCCCAAGGTATTCCCTGACCAGTCGAGAGACATAGTCCCATCAACGTGTCCTGGGTCTTCCTCTGGGTCTACTCCCAGTTGGACGTGCCCGGAAAACCTCACCAGGCAGGTGTCCAGGAGGCGTTCTAACTAGATGTCACCTCTACTGGCTCCTCTCGATGTGGAGGAGCAGCGGGTCTACGCCGAGCCCCTCCTGGATGACCGAGCTTCTCACCCTTTCTCTAAGGGAGAGCCCAGACACCCTGCAGAGAAAACTCATTTTGGCCGCTTGTATCTGTGATCTCATTCTGTCAGTCACTACCAAAAGCTTGTCACCATAGGTGAGGGTTGGAATGTAAATCAACCCGTAAATCAAAGAGCTTTGCCTTCCGGCTCAGCTCTCTCTTCATCATGACAGATCGGTGCAACGCCCGCTCAAAACATGGAAACAAAACTGCCTGAGGGTCAAAGTTCATGAGCCTTACAGCTCAGTCGTCTGCCTGAAGGACGGAGGCTGAGTGAATGAGGTCCGGTTCTGATTCTGCTGGTCCTCTACAGCTGCTGCTAACCAGCTCTATGTGTTTATAGTGTTGACCTCTTCCATATTTCCAGTTCTGATTCAATAAACTTATGATCACAGTCATGCTTCTAGTCATCTATCAGAAGAACACCAGTTCTTTAGCTCCACACACGTAAGGCGCCGTCTCACATTTCTCTTCTGTTTCCTTTATTCTAAAAAACCGTGGGTCCTTGATACCATGAAGCTTTATTTAGGTGTTGCTCCTGAACCATTCAGAGTTGGACGTCACACACTTACAGCTGTTGGTGCAGCAGAAGTGACCTCTTTGTAGTCTCCCGGTGTTGTGGTAGAAACCAAATCCTGACCTGAAAAAGAAAAGTGACTCATTAGATGAAACCCAGACTTTAGACCTCTGTGTGTGTTTGCACATTGTTTTACTTTAGATAGCTCTCCTTTTCTGTTGTTTTATCGTTTAGTGCTCTGATGAGCCTCCCCAGGTCAGGCCCAGTGTGAGGTACTTTATCAGCACAAAGCTTACATTACAACACCCAACTTTCCTAAAAACAGTGATAATCAATAACTACTAGAGTAGGCCCAGGCAGGACTTTTATAAAACCAGCAGAAATAATCTAACAGAAAAAAATGGATGTCCAGCTCTTCTTTGGCTCTTGAGAAGTAAGGAATACTTTTAAAACCATGACAGTCTGAGAAACGTTGTCCTTCCGCTAATAAAACCAGAGAAGTAATTAAAGCCCTGGGCACTTGATGAACGCTTCACACATCCTAACCAGCGGAAGCACCATCAGTAATACTTCACATTAAATAAACTGTATGATTCACCCACAAATAATGAGATTTAATTTGATTTATTAGCAAACATGAATATTTCATCTGGCCTCTAACTTTTCCTAAGCAATGCTGATCTGCTGGTCATTTTTAAAATCCCAAAAATGTCAGCTGGATGAAGACTTTTATGCTCTACTGACTAAACGAGATAAACAGAGCAGAGAGAGTCAAGAGGGTGGAGGTTATGTTCCTGGAACTTGTCACACTGAGCTAAACAGATCTGCTTCCTGCAGCAAAAAGCTTCGATAGATTCTAAAAAGGCAGAACTATTTCAACTATTGGACTGAAACTGTGCAAGAGCAGAGGTGGGATGTGTTTGCACATTTTAAAATTGTTGTGCATAAATGTGGAGCAAGGACAAGAACGGAAATGGCTTTTTGACTCGTTTCCTTTTGAGTCAAAAGGGAGGAAACACTCTAATAGATGCTTCCTGTCCTAGAATGACAGGAAGCATTTTCCAAGAGTGCCCACTGTCCCACCTATTGCTGCATTGTAGTAGAGCAGGATCTGGTGAGGTGAAAGGGCTCTTTCCCAGATGACAAACTCATCAAAGGCTCCTGTGACATAATGACGATAAGCCATGTTGTTGCCTGTTCCTATCACAAGGTCCGAATGCTCGTCTCCATAGTTCCCCGAGACATCGCCTTTTGGGTCTCCAGCACTGTAGGTCCCATTGATGTAAACCTTCAGACCTTCCTTCATGGTCCATGTGAAGAGGACGTTGGTCCAGAATTGATCTGATGAAGAAAATTAAACAAGTTAAAACCCAAAAGATACAACAAGTGCAGCAAACGAGTTCTCAGAGGAGGATCCAAAGCACAGATCTCACCCAAAAGTTAAAGCACCTTTACTGAGAGATCTTGATGGAAAACACTGCAGTGTTACCATGGTAATGGTTGTGGGTGATATGATGTCAAAGGCATGTCAGATTTTATTTATCCTTCAAACATCTGATTAGCTGATATTAGATCATGTTTCTACCGGACCCTTTTAGATGTGACACACTCCAAACCGGATCACTACGTGTGTGTGTCCAAGCATGAATTAGCCAAAGGCTTGATGATAATTTCTAGACGTACTCAATGACAGCAGCATCTTTAGCATAAGGCAGCTACATCCTGTAGCCTCGTAATGTTACAATGAAATACACAGTTTGGTGTCAATATGAATAGCCATGCAATGTTTACACATTTACACGTTGCTGCAGTATTAATCATTAAAAATTAATTCTGATGCTGGGACATATTTCTGTTGAGTGATGTTGTTAGCTTTTCCCAAACAATCTTATTTAAGCTGTTTAGTCATTTTTATAGGAAGGAATCTTCCTGAAATCATTTTTGCACTAAATGTTATGTTTTCCTCTGAGGGCTGTTTTCATTAGGCAATGTGTGTTGAAACTGCTGCTAAAAGTATTAGAATGAGAAAGAAGGCAAATAAACACACACACACACACACACACACACACACACACACACACACACACACACACACACACGCGCGCGCACGCAGCTGAAATGAACAATAGATCCCGCTGATCACTTCATTTTTCTCACATTTCTGTATAGAATTTTTTTAAAAACAACATAGAATAATTCTTCTGTCAGACTAAAAGCACTTAAAAGCTGTAAACAACAAATCTATAGCACTGACTGAGTTCATATATAGTTTGAATTATATTATTTTGGTTTATTAATTAGTACTAAAATACAGCAGCAAGTCAGATGTTTGATATTTAATAATGAGTAAATCCTGGGCCGTTTTTTGAGTTAGATCTGAGGAAAGTGAAGTAAAAAAAACTTAAAGCACATTTTGGAATGAAAATACATCATCCCAGAAATACCCAAATGGTGACCTGTTATCAGAGCAGTTATGATAAAAAACACACTGCTCACGATCAAAAGGACCATTTAGACAAGAAACCAAGCAGTTACTGTAATAGCCTGGATGACATCAGCTATAGATGAAGGAGGTAGAGACTCAACATGGAGATGAAAGAATGACCCAACATTACACTGTAAAAATATCTTTGTTGTAGATAAACTTCCTATTAATGTCACAGATGGGTTATTGATATGCATGTGTGTGCGTGCATGTGTGTGCTTGTGTGTGTGCGTGCTTGTGTGCATGTGCATGTGTGTGCGTGCATGTGTGGGCTTGTGTGTGTGTGTGTGTGTGTGTGTGTGTGCGTGCGTGCGTGTGCATGCTTATGTGTGGATGTGTGTGTGTGAGTGAGCGTGTGCATGTGTGTTCTTGTGTGTGTGCGTGCTCGTGTGCATGTGCATGTGTGTGCGTGCATGTGTGGGCTTGTGTGTGTGTGTGTGTGTGTGTGTGTGTGTGTGTGTGCGTGCGTGCGTGTGCATGCTTATGTGTGGATGTGTGTGTGTGAGTGAGCGTGTGCATGTGTGTGTGTGTACACGCGTGTGTGTGCATGTGTGTGAGTGCGTGTGTGTGCTTGTGTGTGTGCGCTCGTGTGCGTGTGCATGTGTGTGCGTGTGTGTGTGTGTGAGCGTGTGCATGTGTGTGCGTACGTGTGTGTGCGTGTGTGTAAGCACGAGCGTGTGCACGCACGTGTGTGTGCTTGTGTATGTGTGTGTGTGTGTGTGTGTGTGTGTATGTGTGTGTGTGTTATGTGAGGATTTGTCTTTCCCAATTATTTCACAATATCAAGCAAAACGGAGTAAATGAACAGCAACAGAGGTCCTGGAGGACCCATCTGTTGGAGGACCGTGAAATGTTTGGTCTTTAATGTAAAACAGGTGTCAGCTCATTCACTTTTTCACGCTGAGGTTCTCTGGTGAGTAAAAGAACATTATTATGATAACTTCCAGTTGGTCACATCCACGTTCACTAAATCTGACTCATCTATCTCAGGCTGGTGAAATGAGAGCTGTCTGGTATTGACATCCTGTCCTAAAGGTCTGATACGTCTCCCTGAATGAATGTTAGGTCTCTGAGTAACCGTAGCAACAACACAGATGACAGAAGTCACTTGAGAAGGAAGTGCCGGTTGGTGAAAGCTCCCCGTAGCCCCGAGTCTTACAGGGTTTATTCTGTTCTGTCAAAACATTTGAACAAACGTTTGATTCTTCAAAAGGACATCTGCTTTCATAAACAGTTGGTCACATTTGGACTTGTATTGTTTCGCCAAATGGATTTCAGTAGTACCCCAGCCAGCACACATAGGCGGGCCCCATGTGGAATATATATGGGAAAGCAGTATGGGTCTCACTAGGGCTTGTCCGTGATTTCTATGGTGGCCCCACAGGTGTTGGCCCAGAAACATATTTTAACGGGCCCTACATGGGTTTTTAGAGGGTGTCGAATATTTGTGGGCAAACCCCTGCAGGGCCACCGTGGAAACTGCAGACAAACCCTGGTGGGACCCATACAGCGTTTGTTCCATATGGGGCCCATCTATGTGTGTTGGCTGGGTTTAGGCTCTTTTTTTAAACAAGAGGCATTTTAGGGCTCTGCAGCAAAAATGTTTTCAAAATGCATCTTTGGCGTGCCAAGTAAACAGCGGCAGCATCTGGTGTCAGCTGAGCCATAAAAATTATTACTGTTGCAAGCTAAAGATGCGCAAAAAGGCATTCTCATGGAGGAAAACTGCAACTCCAGACTCATTGAGTTTAGAAAGACCAGGTGATTTGTCGTACCTGGAAGTGGGATCTTGGCCTTCCATCTGTGGCTGTTTCCTCGAGCGTAAATCTCCACGTGTCCCACTAAAGGGTTGGTGAAGACCGAGAAGCCGTTGGAGATAACTTTCCCTCCGGAGGCTAGAGCAAAACGGGCATCAACCTCGTAGTTTTTCCAAAAAAAGGAGAAGGTGATACCTACAGAAGGATGATTTTTGTTTCAAATGATAGATTAAATGCTTTGTCTGCCTACAGAAAACAGAACTCACCCTTAGGACTGCACAACGTGGGATCACTAATGCAAGAGTTCTGGTAGTTTCCAAAATGAAGGAAGGTCCCGCCATTATCGCCGTTCAAGAAGATACCTTTGTTTACCATTCCTTCAACAATGTCTGTGGCAAAGCAAATAATAAACTGGATTCTGCGTGACAATTACAAAATAACTGAGAAATGTTATGTGATGATCAAGATTTTACATGTTTCTTGTGAACAAATCCCCAAAAGCAAACCAAATTGTGTGTTGATAGTCTGATTTGATCAACTCTACACTAAAAATCACCCCAACAATACTTTATTCTACGACCCAGCTAAAAGGAGATAAAGAGAGAAGTGTGTGTGCAGACAGAAGTGTGTGATTTACAGATTTCAGTGTGAAGAGAGAGATGGATCCTCACCTACGGTTGCAGAAATGTTAGTGTAGGTAGAGTCATTGGTATACACATAGGAAGAGTTATGGGAAGAGGGAAGCACAGTGTGGTTGTGGATTCTGAGAGCTGGATGAAAAAACACAGACAGAAACAAACATTTGACATCACAGGAGAGTAGTGATGATGGGAGGGATGTGCTGCACAGGTATGAGACAGAGGGATGATGCCGAGCCTGACAGGAAAACTCAGAGATTCATGCTCACGTCTATACCCGATCCCTCAAAGCTACTTATGACCTTTGGAGCTCCAGACTGAGCTGAATTTTGTGCATGATGACTGTGGCTGCAGAGTGAAAAACAAGTGAAGCAGGAGGAGTGCACTCATACTTATGTTGGTCCCGTTCACATAACCCGGTCTGTTTCCATTCTTGTCCAACAGCTCGTGGATTCCATCCACCGCATCAAGCGGCCAGTAGTGTGAAGCTGTGGCCAGCACCTGCAGGCCTGGACACAGTTCACAGTCAGAAGCAAGTCTACAAAGGACAGACATTTGGGATTTGGGCAGATTACAGGATTATGCAACAGGAACTTTTGATTACCAAGATGTAAACAAATGACTTCCTTGAGCCTGGGTGTTATTAGATAGCAAAACATATTGTTCTCATGAATTATGATCAATTTTCTCATCCGGAGCTTTGTCTGATCTTGTGGTTTAAAGTGAAACATCATTAAAATAATCCCAAAATGATGAAAAATGCTACTTTTAAGCTGCACACTACCTGGATGCTTCTTATTTGGCAGTGCCTGAGCGTAAACCTAGAGGAGAAAATCCAAAGTTATTGTTTTAATAAAGGCAGCCTTGTTCTTCTTCTTCTTGTAGGACCTGATTATGAGAAAACAAACTTTGCTCAACTCACCTTAAAACAGGAAACAAAAGTTGTAAAAAGCAGAATTTTCAAACAAAATTCCATACTTTAGAGAACTTTAGAGAACTTTACCATGAGTGTTTTAATTTCAAAATGGTTTGATTCCCCAGAAAAAGATGAATCCATAGGGGGATGGGCATTGATGCGAGACGATCTGATTATTCAGGGCATCCAAAGTCAAAAACATTACAGTAAAAGTCTAAAATCGCATTAAAACTGTTCAGAGATCTGATGAGATGCAGGAACGCTTGAAAAGTTTTCCCGTCATAGCTGATTCGTCTATCTTTAACTTCCACGCGTAGAGTTTTAATCCTCAGCCTCACACAGCTGCTTCTTGGGAGTTTCTGTGGCTGATTCTGGAAACCAGAGAGGAGCTCAGAGGAGGCTGGTGCTGGACGCAACGTGGGAATTACAGAGCGTGATGTCACTTTTTGGACCATCTTAAGGAGGGGTGTTCACTTTGTGCGTAAATGGCACGGTGTGTGCGTAATTGTAGATTTCGCGGGGAATTAATAAGATCAGGTTTTATCCAAATAAACACGTGAGACTCCAATGCAACCATGATGCCTCCTCATTTGTTTGGGGTTTGAGTTAAACTGCGGGACACTACGCAGAACATGTGGGTGTGGTCTTTTTCTAATCGGCCCAAATCCCAGATATAGATTACAGCACGCTGACCAATTTGGGGGCTGACAATTAACCCCCCCCCCCCCCCCACACACACACACACACACACACCACCACCACCAAGGAAATAAATAAACAAGTACTGATAAGTGAATACTGTCATCATAAATGTGAAATCTGAATTTTATCGCTTTAATGTTGTGAAACTTCTCAGATCAGCTGGACACCAGTCCATTGGGCTCCAGCGGGCTTCCAAAGAGAGAATGGATAAGTAAACAGCGCCCCCATGTGGCCAGGTAAATGAGAACAGCTTGTGTGGCAATTCAATCCGATCCCCGTTATTATTTATTCATTAAACCTTCTCGTGTGACCTACAGGTGCGCCAGGGTTTCCTCGGGTAGGCGATAGGACTCGAGTAGCAACAGAAAGGTGACTCTTTAAACGTCATGTTATCATATATGCCGGTTTATGGAGACATTAAACGTATTTCCACCGCGCGCGCGTGCGTGTGTGTATGTGTGTGTGTGTGTGTGTGTGTGTGTGTGTGTGTGTGTGTGTGTGTGTGTGTGTGTGTGTGTGTGTGTGTGTGTGTGTGTGTGTGTGTGTTGTGGTGGGCGTATCCTCGTCGAGGCGCAGTTGATGATCCTACGCAGAGTGAAATCAGTTTATGGGATCTTTTATTGATAATGTATATATTTAGACGAACAGATAATTGGAGTTTCGCGTTAAAACTCTGAGAAACGAGGACAACTTCCTTCTTTTCTTTCCTTTTCTTTCTGGGACTGTTTCCAGCATCAGCTGATCTCACACACCGTCTGATCGTCGGTCCTCGGTGCGCTGCGTTAGTATGACGGGGTGGATGATTTCTTAACACTTCCTGAGCGGGAGACCGGGGGGATGAAGGACAGACTGGCTGAGCTGACTGCTGTAAGTCTATCACAGAAGTCAGACACATAAAAACGTCACTTAAAACACAAAAAGTGCTATTTTTGCGCAGAGTAAGACGCAAACTGAGGAAGAGGTTGCTGCAGCGGTGGATTGCGGGGATGGCTTCATGGACGGCTACTTCAGGAGGGTGGGTATGGCTGTAAACTCTTTAATAACCTAGACATGAATGACTTATGAAGTTATGATGTAGGTAGAGGAGGTCAGAGGACTCATCGATAAGATCTCCCACCAAGTAGAAGAGGTGAGGAAGATGCACAGCATGATCCTGTCTGCACCCAACCCAACTGATGGTAAGAATCAGATCATGGTGCTTTTATTCAAGTTCTTTATATTACTTTTATGTTTGAAGTGACAGAGTCAAACTGTCTGTGCAGAATTAGAAACAATAGATGCCTCATTTCCTCAGAAGCTCTCAGGCTGGAAACCTGCAGGAAACCACCCAAAACCTCAGAGACTTTAAACGTTTGAGTCTGGATTGGACTGGATACCTTTGAGAGAGTATTATTCAAAGTTTTAAAATGCTTTGACGCTAAATTGAGAACATATAAAGCAACAGTGAGGCATCATTTCCTGGCCCCTCTCTGCCTTAGGAGCTGAGTCCTCCAAGACAAATAAACCACAAATCACAACACCGCAGCATCATCTGTAACTGTTTACCAAAGCAACAAAGGCCTTCTGACTGCTGCTTTATTGCCTCAGTTTTGTTGCTAGGTGCCAACATGAAATCCCAGTAAATCCAATATTTACAGAAGAACTCATTAGGTAAATTACTTCTTCTGTGTAAAGGCAAACTGACGTGAAAGTTATTTCTATTTGAAGGTACAAAAGATCAGCTGAGTGCACTGACCAGTAATATCAAAGGGAATGCCAATGTGGTGCGGGCAAAACTAAAATGTGAGTTTAGGACAAACGTTCATGTTGTCATAAGCTGGTAATGCTGTAATCATAGCTCTTTTCCTCCTGTGAAGCCATGGAGCAAAGCATGCCAAAGGACGATGCTGCCAACAGGTCATCTGTCGACTTCAGGATCCAGAATACCCAGGTAGGTTTTCGCTCTTGTACACAAGTGTTGCTTCTGAAGTGCCTGCAGCACATTCTCAGACTCTGCTGCCATGTTTCCACTTGTCTTCAGCACACTGTGCTATCAAGGAAGTTTGTGGAGGTGATGACTCAGTATAATGAGACTCAAGTGTCCTTTCGGGAACGGAGCAAAGGACGGATTCAGAGACAACTGGAGATAAGTGAGTCCTGCAAGGATCTGATACCTCTGAGTTGAATCTAGAAGTACATTAAAGGTACAATAAGTAGTAGAAGAAGAAGAAGAAAATATCATTAGGAATTTTTAAGGAATTCTACAGTGAAATAATCTCAAAACAGTCTGATGTCTCAACCAGGTTATGGTTAAACACGTTTCCTACTCAGCGGCTTGGAGGGGTTGTTAGTTTTTCTTCTTTCAAAGGGCCAAAGAGGGACGTAGTTACTGTTTACAATATGTGTGTACAGCGTTTCCCATTCTGTGCCAGCTAACGCTGCAGCGCCAGCATTTGTGATTTGACAGCAGCATTTTGTAAATATCTTAAGCCAGCAACCGGAGTGACCCAGAACTTATTTCTTGTACCCCTAAGAAGTGTTTTCTTTTGATCTAATATCAGGTGAAGCAGTCCAGAGGCTAATGTTGAGCTAACCATGCTGACAGTGAATTAGAACAAATTAGCCAGCTCTAACAACATCTCAAGATACTTAATTCAGTTACCAACAACTTGATATTACAGCAAAAATATTTATCTACTTTCTGTGTATGACTCGTCATCTAGAATCTTCTGGTGCTGAGCCGTAGCTCGCTACAGCCATGAAACTCACAGAACGGGAGTGAGAAAGTCCCTCTTGTGTTTGTAAAATGGGCTGCAGTAACCACGTTTGACCACAAGATGCTGTTCTTACTTCAGTCTTACTTCACACACATTCAAAGGTCTTATGTTGCCTTTCATGTTAGAGATTTGAACTACAATTATTAAGAAATGACAAAATTATAACGTTTTGCTTAAACCACATGCAATCTCTTTCAAACTCCAGAGAGAGTGACATGAACGACTCTCAGCTACATTCACATCAAATGTTAGCTCAACATCCGGGAAGCTGACAGAGTGAAGGTGATGTATACTTCTCCATCATCTCGAGTGTGGAGGCACACACACACTTTGATGGAGGTGTTTTCCCTTCAGACTTCTCTGCCACCTGGGAGAGTTGCATAGCAATTCCCCTTCAGGACAGCAGAGGGCATAGCGCTTTTCTGGGGTATCCTGCCACCATCTCGGTCATGCGCCCATTTCAAAATAGTGTATCTACTAATGTGTTCATGGGTTTCAGAGACTTTTTAACATGGATAAATCTGTCCCTCGTTCTCCTCCACCTGCTCATGCAATCCGTCCAAAAAAAAAAATGTTTGCTGCGTATCTTTGTACTCCTTTAATGAATGTTCATACTTTTGGACGTTTTCCACGAAGCGTTCTTCAATGTCTGCAGCTAAATAACTTTTTAGGTTGAGGGGGCAATGGCGGTGCTGTTGACAAATGAAATGGAATCACAAAGCAAACTTTGATCAAAACGACAATCCTTCCCATCTTAGATTACGGTGACATCATTTATAGGACCGCTTACAAAAAAACTTCTTCATAAACTTAATGTCATTTATCACTCAGCAATCCGTTTTTTCAGTGGTGCCCCTTTCATTACTTATCATTGTGATCTGTACTCACTCGTTAACTGGCCATCACTCCATTCCCGCAGGTCTTTACATTGGTATCAATTTATATACAAAACCATCGGTAGAATACCATAATACTGTATAGTATTATTCACCTAAAAGTCTGTAACCCTAATCCTAACATGAGATGATAGTGGAAAACATATTGGAGTGTTTTCTTCAGTCCCTGTGGGATTAAAGACAGGCTCCATGACTGAAACGGATACCAGAGACATGTCTCGGTGTTTGCATTGCCTAGGAAAAGCGCAGAGAGCTCACACAGGCTAGAACAGAACTTCATCCTTTTGGACAAAAAACTAAATAAGTTCATATCTTTATCTGTGCTTTCATGGAAACCCTCAGTTATTTAGAACCCTAGTAAAAGAGAAATATTTTGTTCTTGATTCCTCTGTATTCCTTCTGTATTCATAGGTGTGTTTTGCAGGGTTTGTGTCTCTGGAGAATAGCCATTGCTAAAGGTGTGTGACACAACAAGCACTTGCACAGAGATCTGCCTCCCCAGGGAAAGCGTTACACAACAGGAGGCAAAGCATTCTGTTTATAGAGCTTCAGCTGCAGGCTTTTCTGTGGAACAAGTCAAGTTCCTTCGTCCTTTAGACATCCCTCAGCTTGGAGGAAAATGCAAACAAAAAAAAAATATATATATATATATATGAAAATGCATTTTTGTCTAATAGCTGTAAAATATTATCCATAAATGTTTATTTAAGGATCATGCACAATATTAAGCATAAATATTGAAATTTGATGCATTGTACCAGATTTAGCTTGAAGCTAATTCGCATCTGCAGATAAAGAGGGGGTGTCTTCTTAAAAAGATCCCTCTAAAATCTTTGGTAAAAGCTAAACTCTCCTATTAAAAAGTGATGTTTAGGTTGTCATGTGGTTTTGTTCATTCACAAATCTGACATTATCACAAACCAACAGATAAAATGCCTCAAAATGGCAGGATTTTGTAATTGTTTCTGTTTTTATCAGATGTATTTTATGAGATGGCTTTCATTAGAACACACACACAAATTAGTTAACATGAAGCTATTGTGTTTTCAGTGTTAAACCAAATTAAGTTAGTCGTTGATGTGTGTGTCTCGTTGCAGCTGGAAGAGTGACCACTAATGAAGAACTGGAGGACATGTTGGAAAGTGGAAATCCTTCAATCTTCACCTCTGATGTATGTTGTCTCATGCTGGTATTTATGTTGAAGAGCTAAAGGCTCTGGAGCCAGATAACCCTAACCCTAACCCCAACCCTCACCCGGCAGTCCAGCAGAGCAAACCGCTGTTAAAATCAGGCAAACTAAGTCATTGTGACATATTTAGGACCCTTTATTATTTATTTCTTTATTTACATCTTTCATTTATGAACTTAAACTTTTTGCCAATATTTAGCTTCAATTGTCATAAAAAGATTAAAATAGTGATATAAAATAGATGAAAGCTTATGAACGACGTTTGCAGTGATTCTCCTGAACTTTTAGAACGTGGGTCAAAAGCTAGAAGATTTATGATCCACTGTTTTCTATGACTAATCGAATATTCTGTTTACGGATTAGCGCTGCTGTGGCAGCTAAGAGATATACAAAGTACCTAGATTCTGGAAATAAACCTTAGGAAATAAACCATTGGCAGGAAAATACATTTTTTCACATCATGACTTTAAAAAAACATTGCAGTGTCATTTGAAACCGCTGAAACTGAAAAACATGAAATCCACACATTGTCTTACATTTGTGTGTCACAAAGTGAGACGGCGGCTCTGCTGTCACGGAGAAACCAGTCATTTATCTTAAAGTTGTAAAATGATGTAAACTGATGCTTTTGAATAATTTAACTTTTTTCCATCCATCCTCAGATCATATCCGATTCCCAAATCACACGCCAGGCCCTGAGCGAGATAGAGTCCCGTCACCAGGACATCATGCGTTTGGAGTCAAGCATCAGAGAGCTTCATGCTATGTTCATGGACATGGCAATGCTGGTGGAAACTCAGGTGGATCCCAGAAACCCACTCAAGCCTTCCAGTTGGGCACATGTGGAGCCAGTGGGACCAAATCTAATGTGAGTGGAACATTTTGCAGGGTGATATGGTGAACAACATCGAGAACAACGTGTCTAATGCAGCTGAGTACATTTGTCGAGCCAAAGAGGAGACAAAAAAGGCCGTGAGATACCAGAAGAAGTCAAGAAGGGTACGTATCTTTTCAAATGCATCTCACATCTGAAAAAAAAAATGATGTGACCAATACGTGTTTTAATATGAAACCATCCTTGTTGTTAACTTGGCAGAAATACATCATCCTGGCCTTTGTTCTGTTGATCCTCCTCGCTGTTATTGCTCTCATCGTGGGCCTCTCTGTTGGACTAACCAAACGCCCTGTATGACACCTGCTGGGTTTATGGCATGAGGTAACAACGTGTCCATCTGCTCACCTTTTCATCAATCTATCAACTTTTACAGATCAGATGCTTAGACTTTTATTTTTGACAGAAACGCCCCTACCTCACTGTATGTGGTCTCCTGTTTCTGCTCATCACTTCACTCATCTTTGGGTAATGGACTTTTTTCTTCACAACCTCACTGCAAACAGCAATGAAATTCTAGAATCTTCATAAGACAGCCATTGTCTATTCAACACCATTACAAAGGAGATTCCTGTAACACAGTAAAGTGAGTTTGGTATATGAGCAACATCAGATCTGATGGTACACTGGAGCAGCCACAAACAGCCAGAATAGCTTTATCTGCTAGTGTTTTATGTCTAGAACTGCCTTTTTAGGAGATGTTGTACATGTTATAGACATGCTTTATATAAGCTGATGGCTGTAGCTTCGGATTTAGCAAACTAATTTAAAGTCCATCATTCTTTGGACATCAAGGCAAAAAAGAGAGCAAGTGTCGTTACAAAAATGCCTAACATGAAAATAATGTAATTTATAATTTGACAAAAGTGGACAACTTTCAGACATTTCTGATAAACAGTCATGAGAAAAAAGTCCACATTTTTTAAATTCTGGGGTTTCATTTATCTGGATATTTCAAAAATGATTTGAAAAAAATAAATAAATAAAAAAGACGTGGACCAAATTGTTGGTACCCCTTGGTCAATGAAAGAAAAACCCACAATGGTCACAGAAAAAACTTGAATCTGACAAAAGTAATAATAAAATAAGTTCTATTAAATGTAACCAGTGAAAGTCAGACGTTGCTTTTCAACCATGCTTCAACAGAAATATTTTTAAAAATAAAACCATGGAACAGGCCTGAACAAAAATGATGGTACCCCTAACTTAATATTTTGTTGCACAACCTTTTGAGGCAATCAAACAATTCATGTTACTTTCATTGACCCATCTGCACTTCTCAGCAGGTATTTTGGCCCACTCCTCATGAGCAAACTGGCCCAGTTGTCTCAGGTTGGAAGGGCGCCTTTTCCAGACGGCAGTTTTCAGCTCCTTCTAAAGATGCTCAATAGGATTGAGGTCAGGGCTCATAGAAAGACACAATTAGAATAGTTCAATTGTTGTTGAATGTTGTTGAATGTTTTCCTCTTAGCTATGCTTGGGTGTGTTTAGCTGTGTATTTTAGGGTTGTTCTGTTGTCTGCGACTGAGACCAAGCTTTCTGACACTGGCCGGCACATTTCTCTCTAGAATCCTTTGATGGTCTTGAGATTTCATTGTACCCTGCACAGATTCAAGTCACCCTGTGTCAGATGCAGCAAAGCAGCCTCAGAACATAACAGAGCCTCCTCCGTTTCACAGTAAGGACAGTGTTCAGTTCTTAATATGCTTCATTTTTTCCTCTGTGAACATAGAGCTGATGTGCCTTGGCAAAAAGTTCCATTTTTGTCTCATCTGTCCAGAGTACATTCTCCCAGAAGCTCTGACTTGCCAACATGTAGTTTGGTATATTCCAGTTTGACTTTAAGATTTGTTTTCAACAATGGTGTCCTCCTTGGTCATCTCTCATGTGGTCAACTTTGGCACAAACAAAAACGAATGGTGCAATCTGACACTGTTGTTTCTTGAGCTTGAAATTCACCTTGGATCTCTTTAAGTTTTCTGGGCTCTTTAGTTACAATTTGGTTTTTCATTTAATCAACTTTCCTCCTGCAGCCCCCCCCCCCCCCCCCCCCTTTTCTAGGTGTACCCTCATTTTTGTTCAGGCCTGTTCCATGAATTTATTTTTTAAACAATTCTGTTGAAGGATGATTGAAAAGCAATGTCTGACATTCATTGGTTAAATTTCATAGACTTTTTTTTATTTATTATTACATTTATAAGTTATTTCTGTGAACAATGAGGGTTTGTCTTTCATTGACCAAAGGGCACCAACTATTTAGTCCATGTCTGTAGCTCCTAGAGTAAATAAAAAACACACCACATTCCCCACTGTATCATTATGTATTAAAGATAGACAAAGAAAGGGGGTCGAGACCCCTAAAAGCAGCATTTGTAGTGGTTTGCTGGTCTGAAACATACAGCTGTGTGTTAACATAAGAGGAAAGTGATCAGCAGTGAAAGTGTCATAGAGAAGCAAACGTTTCTGATGCTGCAGGAAAAGTTTGAAGGTCAATTGGTTTGAAAAGCCCTCATTCTACAGAGAGAAAAACTATTCATAAATATAAACCCTTTAGGACCTCAGTCAGTTTTCACAGGAATGGACATCCCAGAGAATTCAGCTCAGGATCAAACTGAGAGTCACAGAGCAGGACAAAACCTCAGGAGCTAAATGTATGACGCAACAGGTCCCGGGTTAACTGGTCTAAGGGTAAAGTTTGTGTCAAGTAGGAGTCTTTTGGGAGAGATGAAGGAGAAAACATTTTTAAAGGAAAAAGACAGCATGACTCAGGTTTGCAAAGCTGCTTCTGAATGAACTGCAAGTTTTCTGGAACACTCCTCTTTGGATAGAGGAAACCAAAGTAGAGATGTTTACCCAGAATGCACAGATTATTGGTGAAAACCAAACATGGCGTCTCAGCACAAATGGCTCTCACCAGCTGTTAGCACAGTGGTGGATGGCTGATGGTTTGGGCTCCATCACTGAGTCCAACTCATCTGTAGACCAGACTCTTCTAGAATAAAATGTGAGTTCATCTCTCTGTCAGCTAAAGTTCGGACCAAACTTGGTCATAAAACAGAACCATGATCCCAAACTAAGCAGCAGACGGTAAAAGTCCAGAGCTGAACCTGAAATGCAGAGGTTGGTCAGAATATAGAAACCCTTCAATTCAAAGAAGCTTGGACTTTCTTTTTCTTGTTGCTTCTTATGATCTCTTTTCTTTTTGGCATATTACCTAAGTAGAAAATGCACAAACTGATATATTTACTGTAATTTATCTAGTTCCCTTTTTGCATCAGAGGAGAAATATTTGTTGTTACTGATGGATTTTAATAACCACTTGAGCTGAATTAGCTTGTGTGTGGTGACTGAAATAGTTAATGACAAGAATCTGCTGCAGTAATGTAGTACTCTGTAAGGATAATTTCATGAGCACACAAATACATTTTGCAACATTGTGTAATTTATACACTGGAGCAGAATAACTGAGTTATTTCAATAAAATATAAAAAGCAAATAGCATGCACTGAACGTTTTAGTGTTTTTTTATTGATATGATATTAATTATTGATTTGTCTGATTTAAGTGACAAATTACTGATTTTCTGGGACATAGATATTGTCACTGTTGGTTCTCTTCAGGCATGTAGATGTTGGATTTGTGCAGATGCAAACCAATTAAAGCAGAGGAATCTGTTAACATCAGGCCTAATAAGCACTTTGCACAAAGTGCTTGATTTTCATGTAATTAACCAAACAAGATTAGTGGAGAAAGTGGAAGTGGCTCTCTGGAGGGGGAGTTCTTTTCTTTTTTTAAAAACTGGTTCAGAGGAAACTTTAGAGGTGCACTTAGAGAAAGTCGAGAGCCTGTGGACGTCCTTAACATCTGTCCACAAGTGTTTCTAAGATCTCACAGCGTCCGATCAGGGGACATTAGTGATTATTACAAAGCTATGACTCAGCAAGAAGAAAGATGAATGAGTGCAAATGTAAAAATAACACAGTTACATCCAACATGGCTGTTTATACTGGTTCTACTCACAAACAAGAGGAAATCTCACTGTATCAAAGACTGAATGGGAGGTTTATACTGTGCACACAGCAGAATGACTTTAGTGCTTCAGCATTACTCATGTAATACAAGGTTTCCACGCAGAAGTAAAAAGGATTTACTTCTGGTTTTAAAGTCGTTCCAAAACCATGCATAATGTTCACCAATATATGCAAACTACACACGCACATAACGGGAAGAAGCTGGTCTAAACAATAAAGACATTGTTTTCCACCTCAGCAACACCTATTTCACACACTGAGCCTTAAAATCAACCGGAAGTAAAAAATAAATAAATAAATAAATAAAAACACTGACTTCACATATCAAGCAAAGCCGGAGTAAAACACACAATAGTGACAGTAAAATATGATCCTATCCAGAAGACCAGCCACTTAAAATAAAGCCAAGATTCTCTTCTTTCATACAATATAAGTCTCATTTCTGTACCATAAAAATTCAAAAAGCCAGCCGCGATCAAACAGAGAACAACACAGCTGCTTTTTGGCAGTCAGCAGCATAAAGTCTGTCTTACCTATGGTGATTTGTGATCCTAATCCGTGTTCTGGTAAAAAAAAAAATCCACTCGATAAGTGCAATCCATTTTCTCACAGTCAATACAAACTAATTCGTGACTGTTTTTGCCGTGTTTTGCTCCCTACAGGCGAGTTAGAAGTCCGCGACACCATCTTACCCAGAAGATGGCTCACCCCTTGGGGACTCATGGTCTTGTTGTTTCAGTTTGGACACAATGAAACACAGCACCACACGAGTCTATTAGCTCAGAGATTTAAGGCGTGATTTGAACCACACAAATCGTCCAATGGGATCCTGAGATGTCCTCGCACGTAACATGTGCCATGTGTGCGTAATAGTCATATTTTACTCACGAACGCAGGACGCACGAGGCAGTGTTTACCTGCAGCGCTGACTTTCTCTCGCTAGCGTTTAATAACTAGAGGAGCTTTTTAGATCGTTATTTGCTTTTTTTGACATCTTATTTTTACAATGGCTGGAGAAAACAAGAAGCTTTTCACCACTAAAGAGGTCCTGGATATGCTTGCTGATGATGGCAGCGCTAACCTGTGGATTCATCTTCTCATGAGGAAGATGCACAGATCCGGACAATAGTGACCTAGATTGTGAAATCTCTTCTTCAGAACAGTATGTAACCCTTTTCCCTTAAGTCTTTTATTTGATTTGATGTGAAACGACTGATAAATTTACCAAACATATATATTTTGTTATTTATGCACATAATCCTGTCCAAATAAGCATATTTTCAGTGTTGTTGTGAATGGACCATGTTTTTTTTCATGTGACTTTACTGTGAATAGTGATGAACTGGATGAGGAGTACCACCCTCCATCACCTGGACAGGTATCCTTCGCTCAGCCACAGGAATGGCCAAGCCCATCTTCTTCTGCTTCAAAAACCAAGGAAGGGAAAAGCCTCAAGCTCATCTTTACTAAGTGGAAACCTCAAATTTGTTTGTGGAGCTCTGACAGTGAGTGATTTTTACATTTTCATGGCCAACCTGATTTCTTATGTATGATAATTGTTCAGTTATCTTGGTTTCCTTGTTGTGAAAATCTATTTTACATTTTTTTGATAATAATTTAGCTCCATTAGGAGTTGAATTAATTCCACTGTATGATTTTACGTTATTTTGAATGGAGAAATATATTTTGGGTGGATTTTTCCCCAAAACCCTCAAAAACATAATTTTTTTTAGATGGAAAGACTTTCTAATATAAGTTAAAAATGAGGGAGAAAAGAACCTAAAGAAAACACCTGAGAATTTCCCAATGGCACAAACTGTGCCAAAAGGTGCCCAAAATGGTCCAGGAGAGGTCCGCCTGGATTTCTATCAACTAAAACCTCTCTAATATTTCTATACTTCCTTTTTTCATGATTTTTGGGTCAGCAAATGTTCAGACCCTATTCTGTGGATTTCTAGATGCTTTAGGCTGCAACTAAGTATTTTAGAAGGAATTTTAACATCATAAAGTGGATTTTTTAGGTGGAACATATTTTTTCTCATTTCTGTTGTGTTCCAGATCCTGTTACTCTCAATCAGTGACATACGTGATGCTTTTTAGAATTTTAGAGTAAACTTTAGAGTCTTACATTTATTTTGATACCAAAACAGCTCAAATAAACCTTGTAGTTTATGAGATATTCTCAAATCATTTTGGGCACGTCTTTTTCAAGAAAATCTCAGAAAAATGGCCTAGGGTTCAAGAAGTTAAGGCCCTCAAATTTATTTGGTGGTAAATTTTTCTTAACCATTTAATATATTGTAACTTTTCCATTAGTGGCCTTTTTGTTTGTTTTAAGCTTATTTAACAAAAAATAGATAAAAAATCTTTTACATGAGCTGCCATGCCCTGCAGCCTTGATTGGTTCTATCGTGAGATCTGTTGTGTGCATGCGTGATGTCAGGACGGCTCATGTTGATACTAGCAAGCGACTGTCCGCCTCGAAATGGGAACGTTTTCCCAACTTTGGCTCAATACTCTGGCAATGAACTGGTTATTTGGTATACCAACTACCCGGTGGGTGGACATGCTGTTTGGATGCACAGAACTCCAGTCACTGTTTTATTTATCATGTAGTGAGCCTGTTATGGAAAAATCTATGTATATTAATTCTTGGTTTATGGAAAAATGGCACAAAAAGTACAAAGTTGACGGTAAATTAAAAGGTCAACAATGGAATGATTTAGTCTGTGTCTACAAGGCCAAAGCTGCGGCAGCCACAGGGAGAGACAAGGAGAAGAAAGAGGACCAATTAAGAGCGGCAATGTTATGGCTGGATGAGACAGAAAAAAGGCAAGCAGGCATTCAGAAGAGAAAGAATAGAGAAAAGGAAAGCAAGGGTGAAACAGGGAAAGTATCCCTTGTGCCACCTCCTCCACCTTTTCTCCCACCTCTGCTTGCTCATTCTCCTCCGCCTTATCAAGGCGATCTAGTTGCAGATAAACCACTCCTCGCAGCTGGAGGGCCTTCTG